CATCCTCTCATATATGATTTAAACGTACACCATAACATGGCGTTAGAGACATCCCCTGTGTCATTGATTTCAAAGAATTCTCTAGTCTGAGTGCGCAGTTCATCTACATTAGTTTCTGATTTTAATAAATTTTCATTTAGTCTCCATTTATCTCTACACTTATATTCCGCATTATTTTCTATGACTAAGCTTACAGGTGCATGATCGGACCATGTTATCGGTCCAATTGTCACCTTCTTAACTCGCTCCAAAGTTTCCGGTTTAACCAAAAAATAATCAATTCTAGTATATGTCTGATGGACACTTGAGAAGAACGTATAGTCTCTCACTTCTGGACTATGCGTTCTCCAAGCATCATATAAACAGTTTTTTGTCAAAAAAGTCTGCATCATGGATGGACCTGTTCTTTGCTTACCGTCTAAATGAATGTTAGGCTTAGTTCTATTCCTATCTATTTTGTTATCTATAGTACAGTTAAAATCCCCACCGATAATTAGGATGCCAGACGATACGCGGTCAATCTTTTGCATCAAATTTCCCAAAAATCTGTATGGAGACTGGTTTGGAGCATAAACATTTACTAAGGTATATACAATATCGTTGATTCGTGCTATCACTATAAGGAACCTACCACCCGGGTCGGCCTCCTCATAGATCAGCTCATATTTCACACTGCATGAAAAGAAAATTGCCACCCCTCTTTTCTTATTCTTTCCTGCCAAATTAGATCTATGAACCACTGGGAATTTTTTATATTTCCATAGTTTAGGCGTAGAGTTAGTCCAGTGTGTTTCTTGAACGAAACCAATATCTATTTTGCTGTCACTCAGTAGTTTATATAGATAGCCTCTTTTCTGACCTGAATTTAAGCCCCTTGCGTTAATAGATAGTATGTTTAAAGACATACTACCGTATCTCTTCCCGCCCCTTCTTCCCCTCTAGCCTCCCCTCAGATAGCCTCCAACACTCAAATCCATTCATACCTTCCCCATTCGGCCCTATATATTTGGACCTCCTGGTGAAGCCCCAACTTTCTATTACTACATTCAATCCATAATATGAAGTTCTGTGTACAGTCTTCATATTTAACCCTGCTGCCGTCGCAGGACCCTGGGCCAGAATAGTGGGCAATGTCGATGCTCTGTGGACAATTTATTCTTTATTATACTCCCTCTATACTTCAACTTAGTCTGCCCTTCTTTTCCCTTTCCCTTTCAATTACTATTTTTTGAATAGTTCCGATGTTCTTTCCCTTTATCCGACCCCAAGATCTGTCTACCGCTGGCTTCCATTTTATCATGGGCAACTCAACTATCCTTATATTTTTATTCTCAGATGGTCCTTTTCCCTAGCTCTTAAAAATATTCTCCCTACTCCTCCCTTACTTCCTCCAGTATACCAATTTCATACGAAATTTAAACTTATAATTATTGTGATAATGTGATATTCACTACATTCATTTCATTCACTTAAGATAAATAATGTATACATACATATATATCGTGTTTTAAACTCAACTTCCCTATTCGTTACGTTACATATAAATCTATGATTATTTTCACCCCTATGACATTCCTAAAACGGATATACACCCTTTCTACCCATATCCAAAATTCTTATACATTTTTTCAATACTTCTATATTTTATAAACCTCTTTTTGTTCTTTTTATTCAATTCATACTGCTTAAATTATCTTATGTGTCTTTATATCAATTTATCTATTATGTCTATGACTCTGTGTTTACCCCTTTTAACTTTATCACTTCTATCTAGTGAGGGAGAGAAGAAAAAAAAAAAGGAGGAGTTTGATTAATTGAGACTAAGGAATAATTTTCAAACTTATCATCTTCTGCTTTAGTGCCAAGTTGTCTCTAAAGATATATGTTTTATCTTTGAAGAAAACCATAATCGCCGTCGGGAACAACCACTTATATCTAATCTCCAAATTCCTAAGAATAAGCGTTTCTTCGGCAAAAGTTCTTCTTGCTTGTCTTGTCTCATAAGATAAGTCCTGATAAACTTTTAAATGTCTCCATTCTTCAGTGTCCAGGATCCCGTTCCTTATCTTCTGCATTATTTGGTTCTTCATCCAAAAACTAGCGAAACAAATCATAACATCTCTTGGATAGGACTTGTTAGTTCCATTTGATCTTGCCAGTCTATGGAATCTTTCAAATGTCTCAGGGCCCAGCGTCTGTCTGGATAATATTTTTGAAAAGAAGTTATTCAAATACAAATATAAATCTTCTTGTAAAATTGATTCCGGTATGCCTCTGACTCTTACGTTGTTTCTCCTTGAACGATCCTCAAGATCAGTCAGCTTAATCTCAATATCCTGCAGTCTCTTCTCTAACTGTATATTAGATGTTTTAATTTGTTCATATTCCTCTTGTACTTTTTGTAATATGTTTGCTTGATTTGAGAGTTTCTCAGAGAGAGTGGCAATTTCCAATCTGATATCTTTAGAGTTGTTTTCAATATCCGTTTGGATCTTTTTATGTAAATTGTCCAGCAATTGGGTTAAAAGTTGTTTCGTCAATCCCTGTGGGGTTTTTGACAGGTGTGGTAAATCGTCCTCTGATATATTTGATAATTGATGTGCTGGAAGTTGGGCATTTTCTAGAGGCAGAGACTTTCGTTGCCTCTCTAGTTCTATGCCTGCAGCTTTGGGAGAATAAAATGAACCAATTGTTGCCTTCTTTTTCTCCATATTTTGGGCTCTCTCTTTTTTCGGAGCCATATGTAGTTCTAAAACACCTAAGTTAAATTTTATACTCCACTAAGAATAGCTGTGGAATTTAAATTGCTTGCTTAAATTGCTTTTTCACAATTAGCCCAAGTCTCTCATTTCCTCTTCACTGCAACGCCAGACAACTGTCTCTTTAATTTAACTCTTATTTATCAGGTATAATATAAGAATCAGTATATACTAAGAGTATGTTCAATAATCAGTCTTCTGTTTATGAGTATAAGTACCTTCAGTCTGTAGATTTATATGCACAATATCAGCCAAAGTCGTACTTGAAGATTACTCTTCCTCTTCCTCATATATCAGCAAGCTCCAATACCTCTTGTTTGTCACATATAAATTATAAATCAGTAACAGGGAAATGCCTCAATTGTAGCTGCTTTTGTAACCTTGTATCCTTTACAGCAGCTGCTCAGGCAATTAGCAAACACATGGGAGTCAAATGGCCAATGTAGCCGCTTTTATAACTTTGTAGCTTTTATATCTTGATGACCGCATTACAGCAGCTGCTCAGCCAATTAACATACTCATAGCAACTATAGCAGCCAATTGTCTCAATAAATCAGCTTATGTATCAACTTTATAACAACTATTCAGCCGATTGCCATACCGTGAGAGTCAGGAGTCAGAAGGGGAAAACGAATTAATACCCCCCTATATCCGCTTGTATCTCTTTACCGGCTATGTGGCAGCTTTGCAGCCGCTTCTCCTGCTCATACCTCGCTGATCAAAAAGCTTCAGCGCCGTTCCGCCTCGCGTCCTTGCCTCGTTTAGTTCGCCTGCTTCATTACCCCACTACCTGGCCCCTAAAGACGCGCGGTCCTGGC